TTATGTTTATTACTTGATCTGTCTTAATTGCATTTCTTGTTTTGGTAAATAAGTTTAAAACACATACATGATGGTACAGGTAAGTCTTCCAAGAGCCACACGCATTGTTAAAATAACCTGTACTCCTTGTACATTATTTTCTTCATTCTTTCAATGGGAAGGAGGAAATAATTAATTCCTAGATATTTTATTCAAACACCTTTTCATTATAAATAAAGACCTGTTCCATTAGAAGAATAACATAGTTACATATATCCAAGTAACTGCAAAATCTTGAAGCGCATTAATATGCAATACTCACTGTGATAACTATGGAACTTCAAGAAGCTGTTTTTACGTACAGATTGCACATAAACATGTTTATAAAACTTGTCACAGAATAAATTAAATCATCATAGAAAAAAAACTAAAGCAATAATTGTGTCTGAAAATCAATAGGAAAAAACTATGAACTTGCTGAATATCATTAAAAAATTAATATGCAATATAATATGAAAAACTTATCAGTTTCATACTTTCATTACCAGTTTTACACAATTTTTAATTTTGGATTAAAAACAGCAGTAAATTGGAAGCCTAAAATGCTTTGCATACTCTTAAAATCAAATCTATGAACTTTAAAACCAAAATTCCATAGTAATGATCAATAATATTAAATAAAAATAAACTCTTAAAATTAACTGTATAAGGCATAAATGCCATGGAATATGAATTATCACACACAATTCTTAGAACTTGCTAAATCTTTGGTTTAATTTAGTCATATTTTATATCTTCTGGGCTGGTGTAGTCACATGAAGTTCTTGAATTTTGTCTCTGGATCAACTTATTCTAACGTGATTTTTCAACATCATAATTAAAAGAAATGCAAATGTGAGTTAAAAAAAGGAACAGATGTAAACTTCTTTTAAAAAATCCCTTTCTTCAAATCCAATATAATGTCTAAATATCTCTGTCACCAGCTCTTACATAAAATTACAGTGCAATATTTTCCACATATGTAAAGTATAAAATCTGCAGTTTGCTCCAGTGACCAAAAATGTGATCAGTGAAGAACCTGAGGTAAATAAACATATGATTATACACAGAATATTTGCCATATGTTCACCTGTGCAAATACAACATTATTTTGCTTAAATAACTTTAAAAACTCTCACAGGCCTAGAGAAATATCACATATGTCCAATAGGCATATATTCACATTTCCATACTTTGAAATTATTGGCCAAATGATTTAGCATTTAATAATTTTCATTTCAGACCAAATTATAGACTATCAGTACAATAATTTTCCTTCTCCTGTTCACATTAAAGAAGATAGAAAATGTTAATGAATGAAAACAAAGCCATCACAAGATAATTTATTTTAATAGTTACAAGCATGAAGTTAGGGCAGGAAAATTAAGATGCTTAAACATGAAAAGAATGAGGACAATATGAGTAAGTTTAATTACCAAATAGTTGCTGTAATGGTTTTTCCTAAAACTGTCATAACCAGCTAGTTCCTTTCTACTGTTTGCGATAGAATAGTACTTAAGAGAAGTCATTTTCCAGAAAGTTTTGCATCTCTGTAGATCATAACCCTGGCAAGACATGTCCATACTTTTTTCCTCAAGTGGGTAAATGTTAAGAGAGAAGAATCCAAGTTTCATGATGCAGCAACACAAAGCTGGGAAGTGAAAATTATGTTGCAGCGGAGTCCTGAAAATATGACTGTAAAAGTTAATCAATAAAATGTCTATTCCTGTCTATTCACTGGAGGCCCCAGCTGCATAGCTTCACTCAATCGATACTACAAATTATTACGATTTCCAGGTTCCCACTGGACATTCAGAACAAATCTTTCAAGTGTAACAGGCTTATACTGAGTATATGGTGTCTGTTCTCTACATTTAGTTCAAAAAGAGAGGAGAAAAATAAAATCTAAATCCTATATGCTCCTTTAACAATTCAACTTTATGGAACCAACAACTTACAAGTCACATTTTAGTGTTAAAAACAATCTTCCCTTTGGTTGCCAAACGTTTTACTACTTTTTTAACTGTTTCATATTTAGTTAAGAAATGACTTAATCTGGTAATAGATATCGGTGGTATGGTGTTGGAACTTGGCTACTTCTGAATGACTATTCCAATTAAATGAATGGAGGAAATCATTTTGAGATAATTACTTATCAAAAAATCACTTGGAGACATTATCACTATTAGAAAGATGAATGTGGAAACTTGACATATATTGCAAATTGGAACAAGCCTCTTAAAATACACATTCTAGTTATTGTTTTTGTGATTTATATTAGCACATTTCAAAAATTATGTTTCAAGTTTTCATTTTTTCCTATTTTTTGTAAGATAAAATAAAATCATGATTTCTCAAGTGAGTTTCTCTTTTTTTGAAAAAAAAAAAAAAAAAGCCCCAGAATGCTTCATTCTAGTGAGATTCTCCGCTCTCTATAGCAAAATTCAACCATGATTGCAAATTCTAGACACTACTCAGGTCTTTGACCTTAACTTTCTATACATTTTACCCTGCATCACTTAGTCAAGATCCAAAGACTTTTCCAAATAAAGGAATGACTGGGTGAGAGAACTCACTATGATATTCTTATGCTATATGATATCTGATGTGGCTCTTTGTTTTTCTGACTGGTGAATACCCTGGTGTCAGACAGTGCCCAATACCAAAGCAATTAATAAATCTGACCCACTCATGCCACCTGTGGATTGAGTGGAAAAAACAATAAAAATGAATAAACTAAGTTAGGACTTTTTACTTTGGTGAGGCTGGAAAGGCTTTGATTTTATTACACATTTAAACAGTAATATGTTTTTTCACGTTAAGACACATATCTAGCATGTAGGCATACCCTGTGACAATGTATATTGAGCTTACATTTAAAAAAAAAAAAAAGATGAACTAGTTTCCCTTAAACAACCATTGGTTTGATTATGGTCATGTGTCAGTCTCTTTAAATTCAACAAGTTTTGTAACATATCATAATAATATTCATAATTTTTTTGACTTCTAACATTTAGTTGCTAAAACCCATTGTAAATAGCTAGGCAAAAAAATACTGTTATAATTTTAACTACCCTCTTAGGTGATATTTATACACCTTACCAGCAATTGCACATTGAGAGAGAATAGTACTTAATTTCATGATCAAGCTGTATTGGGAAATAAAACAGATACATATAGATGAAATATATAGAACTTAAGTTTAGTCTTTCATTGTTATTTAGCTGGATGAATCGCTTCCTGATTTATTTACTTCTAAAAAGCCAAGATTGGAAGTATATCTTTGCATGCCAGTTTTCAGATCAAAATTATATATTTTTTGTGAGTGTACTGAATAATATGCCTTTATAGTGGCATTTAACTGTAGAAAAAATGTTGGCATTATTTTACTAACATTAAGTTAACATGTACCACTATCATTAGCTTTATATTAGTGTTCACAAACATGTTTATATATTTCTTGTTATCTAAATATATCTTAAGTATATTATTCCCCTAATATAATCCAGCTTTTTAAAAGATCATAATATTTACAACAATAGTACATTACTATAGCCATTCCCAAAGAAACCTTGCCCAATATGCTTTTAATTCTTGGTACCAATTTCTACCTTTTTAATATTTGTGAAATGTGGTTTTTTGTTGTCTGAGTTCTGGCAGCTGACTAAAGGTACATTAATGGCAAACAGGGTTTATCTGAGTGTTTAATTTTATTTAGAAGCCTATAAAATGTCATCCTAGGTTGCAAAATTATTTTTAGTGCCTTCTAATATTAAACCATTGGATGAAAACACAGGAATAAATTCCTCATGAATAAATTTCAAATATTTTACTTTTACATTTTAGCATTATTAGTTAGCATTATAAACCATAAATCAGAAAAAGAATTTCAACATTCATCCTATGCAATATTTTGAAATCCTACTGATAGATACATTAAGATATGCAGTAAGTAATTAAAGTTTAGAATTTGGCTTCCAAAGATTAGTTAATATCAAATGCTTTTTTAGTTCTGGCCCCAGGATTGTGTTCAAAGGGTGAGTGACAGGAGAGGAAAAAAAAAAAAAAAGTTCAGGTATGTGTGCTTTATCTAACTGTGATTACTCAATTTAACCAGTGTTCGGTGAGTAAAGTGTAATTCTTGACAAATAGAGAGAGAGCGAGAGGAGGGGAGATGGGAGAGAGGAAGAAAGGAAGAGAGAGGTTCATCTGGGCTATGCTACTTTTAAAAAATTATTTCTAAAAAAACCGTAAGAAAGTCAAGCAAAAGGCAGAAAGGATAGAATATCTAATTATCAGACACTCAAAAAAAAAAAAGTCTAACGTTTATTTGAAAAGTAAATGATAAAATCTGAAAACAGTATTAAGCATAATAATCACATGAAGATTTAGATTATGAAAGCAGAAATTAACTACTGGAGATGTTTCACTAAGACAATTTTCATGAATGTTTGAAAACAGTATAGATCTTTATTACTTTTCTTCATAGTTCCTTACATGCCTCAGTGGTCTGACCAAAAAACTCTACTCTAAAGGTCTCTCAATTTAATAGTGTCTTGCTTAGAGCTGCTACTTTAACAAAAAAGAAAGGCAACAAGAGCCATATGTAACCTTTGGACTCCAAAAGGAGAGAGATGAAAATGCCATTGGCAGATAGGTGCTACAGAAACACAGTGTATTCTTTCTTTTGCATCTTACCTTGAACATTTCTTGATAGTTAACAAGAAAGTTGAGCGCCACATCATTATTTAGAATCGGAATAGGACAGTCACACTGTTCAGCATGCCCCACTTCAGTTAAGAAATGATGCAAATTTAAAGTCTATCTATTTTGGAGCGAACAATTTATTGAACAAGCTAGCCCATTTACACATACCCTTTTGCAAGACAGAGAGAGTTAAATATTAAGCAACGAAAGTCAAAGGACTGACTTGATTTTAGAATGTAAAGTAAAACTTTCTGAAATACTAAAAAGCAACTCACTTGTAATCATTTTTTTCTTCTTCAGAAGCAATAATCCCTTCTGTCACTGTCTTCAGCTCTGCCTGGGGTTTTCTACTGTTCTGTTCTTGGCGAACTGTTTCTGCTATTTGCTCAGTTAGCTGCTCTTGAGTAGCTTTCAAGCTGGATTCCATTAGAAGAAGTTTTTCATCTTGACTGGCAAGTTCTTGGGCTGAAAGATAAAACAAGAACATTGCCTTTTAAAAAACTCAAGCTAATGTGTTTTTTTTTCTTTTGTTTTCGGTTTAAATTTTATGCGATGCAACTTTGAGGAAGATTTAAACAGATCCTTCTTGTCAAAATACAAGCTCATGCATTCCATTTTCTGATTCCTTTATTTAACGCACAAGTAAACAAAGGTATGTATGAAGGAATACAAGATGCATGTCAGTAATCTCAAGTTTATAAAACATTTGAATTCAAAAATTAGATGTCTTAATCAGACAACAATTTGCTGACTTTAATTGTGAGATTTCTGTTGCGACATAAGTGTATTAAACAGAATGACATTAACACATAGTATTTTTCTTTCCTTAGCACAGGCCTCAGATATATTTATATATATTCACACAGACAAAGACCGATATGTTATAAATTATGCCAAAATGATGGCCTTCCACTGATTTATTTTCATGTATAGTATTTATGAAATGTAAGCACTTTTTCAAGGTCATCCAATAGATGGCAGTCTTTCATTAGACCAAAGCAAACCAGGCAGTATGCTTCAGCTCTCAAAAAATAAGTGATTTAAGACAAAGACATTTTTCCTTTGTTCTTTGTTGACCGTATTCCTAGAGATATATATCTGTACATTTTGTTAGAATATTTCCCCATTAAAAAGTATTTATCTGCTTTTTATTTTCCTATTTGCCTCAAATGCATGCCATGAAAGGTGAATATTTATTTCTTTAATCATATATTTGCATATATATTTATACACGTTATGTCATATAGTACATTTTTGGAGGTATTTTTAAATATCACTGCATTTTAAATCTCATTGCATTAAAGATCATGATACTTTATGGAAATCAGTCATTTCAATCTTGTAATCTAAAATGAAGAAAAAGGAAAAAATTCTTTTAAGACCCCAAAATCCATATAAATAGAAATGGAGAAGGCCATATTTGTATAAAAACAGACCATCTTTGCTTTTAATGATTCTCATTTTATGTCCAAAAAATGATGTTTATACTAAGCTTCAATAAAGTTAGAAACCAAGGTATTACAGTCTGACATCAGAGGTATCTTTTACAGGCAACCTCGTAAAGAAGATACTCTATATAAATATTCTACATTTATCACTCATCTTTGAAGCTGAATGATGACTCCCTTATAAATTAGATCTAAGAATATCTGGTTCTCAGAATCTCTTTATAGATTTTGAGCAACTGACTGCTTATATTTTAATAAATATGTGCATACATGTTCACTTTGTTTTCCTGCAAGTGTTCAAACTGACCAGTTTTGCCCCAGAAGAAATTACAGCATCTACTATTTTTATAGCTTAAACCTGCTATATATTAACAGTTTAAATTTGTGCCTCAGGAAACCACAGAGCTAACGCAAACAGCTAAATATTTAACAAGGAAGAATGCATCACCCAGAGCTCATCTTTATTAAATTCCAAATACATCGAAATCTCTCTGAACAAATGAGTTAAATGTTTAATAATTTCAACACATGTTAAAGTGTGGGGGGGGGAAATCCAATAAAGAACTTACAATGAATGTGCTTTCAAAATTAAAAAAAAAAAATAAAAACCGTTCAAGCTTAAAAAATATGTAAAAGAACTATGGCCCTCCCTGCTCTTGACCAAAAAAAATGTAATCAAATGAAAGCAATTGACATTTTTGCAGTGATATGTTTTTAGCATTGTTAATGTAGTTGCAAAACTGATTTGGGTGCAGCATTTTATTTTGTATGCTTTTTCACCTTTCACAATACATATTTCTTATGAAAAAAGAAAAACGCAACAAACTTTTTAAATGAGTTTTGAGGAGAATTTTTAGACATCGACATTGAGAGGTTAATGGTCTTTAAGTTAAAAGGATCTGAGCAATCAGGCTACATGTAAATGACTATGGATATAAGAATGCTGAAGGAAGTTTTTTTTTTTTTTTTTTGAAGAATCTACTTGTACCAATAGACTGTCTTCAAGACTACTTGAGTCACCTTGTGGCACATACACAAAAGAGACCTTTTGTCAACTATGCATGATGTGAATTTTCTATGAAGTTTGCCGATTTTGAAATGACTAAGAGATTTATGCCTCACGGTTCTCCTAAGAGTCTACTCTAATTCATTATGTGCTGGTTAAAGGGGGTAAATTATTTTAAGTTTACCTATGCCTTGGACTTGAGCCCGAGTTGATCCCAAGCCAGAGGCGCTCGCAGCTGCTTGCTTTATTTACAATCCCTTTGTCAGACTTACAACTGCCCCAGGCTATAACATAGTGTACCTAATGTTCAAACTGGCAGGTAATCTTATGTCAAACATACTTCTTTGATTTAAAGTGATCAATAGATTCTTGTAAAGAGGTAATTTCTCTGATGTTTCCACCTTGCCTTTTTTACAGGTGATTCACACAAAAGCCTGCTTATATGATGTACGAACAATAAACAGAAAGCTATAATCATGTTTTTTCAGATGTTTCCGGTGCACAACGATTTTGGATCGATACTCTGTGTAATACAATTATCTGCAATGATCTGGTTGTATTGAAAAAGAATTTGCAGGAGACCTCTAGGGGGTTTTATCCAGAAACACGTATCTGGCAATGTTGTGAATAGTGGAAGGAAAAATTAAGGGGTTGACAAACGCTGTCTATTATGTACCCAGTAACTTCATTAATATTTTATTCATATAAGTATTCTACCACAAAGTTGAGACAAACAAGCTCAAAAGTAATAATGATAATAACGTTCATAGCTTCATAGTACCTATTTATATAGAACAACAACAACAAAAAAATACCTTAACGAACATAGGACTTGAGAGAGATTCAATGTTGTGTGATTATTATGTACCATAGATTATGAGCAACATTATTTATTTATGCTATGAAATAAATTCCTGTATTTCTATCTTATGTAAGTCATGTAAATACCAGTGGATGTGAAATACTTTGATGCCTCTTCAACTACTTTATTTTTTTACTAGACTGGTCAAATTCTAGACTGAGGATCAACTTGCATTGTTCACAAGCACTGTATATTAAGCCCTTTATTTCAGGCCTTTTTTTTTCCCCCCCCTAAATGAAGATTTGCAACCTCAGGGAAAGGGCTAAGATACATAGTCTGTATCTGAAAGACATTATGCATTTTCTGCAAAGATCTCTGTGTGTAGAAACAACTCAGTTTTGTTTTTATGGTTCTCTTGAAGATGCGGACTCTTTGCATCATCTTCCTTAAAGCCCAAGACGTTCCACGTTTCCTATTTGGAGCCCCTAATCACACATCTGTGATGTGCAATTCTCTTTCATCAGACTAGAACAGATTACATTCTGGTGAAGTTCACAAATTGGGGTACACTGGTCCCTCTCACAAAGCCCCGCTCTATGCAGATTCTGCAGATCCCCTTCTGGCTGCTGCAGACCTGATCTAATGACAAAGATTGCTCTTTCGGATGCTTTCCTCCCTGTGTATCCCGGATGCTTGCTTTCAGTCTCCTGACCACACTGTCGAGGCTCATCACCTTACCCACTTTGACTTTGATGGCTTCCTGTGCCTGCAGGAGACCAGCTTCTGACTTTCTTAGAAAGTCCTATCTTTTTGCGTATTGCCTGTGAAGACAAAAAGCATTCCAATAGTGCCTCTTATGATGTACTTTTTATACTGCATCCTGCTATTTTGAGCTATAGGGTACTGGAGATTATACAGCCCCTCATTAGCAACTGGGTCAAGTATCCACATCTCTTTTAGGATCAAAACCTTAAAGGGACTCTCTTAAAAAAAAAAAAATGTCAGTTGGAAAGAAGAGTCACCATTAGCTTAAATGTAGTGTTAATCAATACGCAAAAGTTCAAAGGCTAAGGAAAGTATTTCCCATAATTCTTAGGGAATTAAAAAGGAGACTCGTTGGATCAAAATGAATTCTTTCTCTTTAAAATATGAAGAAAAATTTAATGAATACAAAAAGTGTATTTGATCTCTTTGAGTTAACACCTATATAGCTCTTTCATTTAGCTCTAAAGCAAACTGATGTGACACACAGGGAAATCCCTACACCATAAAGATAATTATGATACCCTCCTAATGACTTCTCCACACCACTTAAACTAATTAGCTTTATAAGAATATAATGTTTGTCACTTTCTTTTTCAATTTTATTATCTTTTTAACACGCGTGTCTCCACTTTAAATTTGAGTGAGAAAAGACATTAAATATAATCAAAGATTTTGTATCCATCAATATGGTATTCCTGGCTAGGTTTTTTTTTTTTTTTTTTTATTGGCTCCCTGCCACACCTTGACTCTCTATCATGCCCCATCATGCTTCTTTTAATCTGAATATTTAGTGTTCTTTCATGTCTTAATTACAGCAAATTGCGGCACAGTTGGCACCATTTCTTGAAATTAATCCCAGAGTACTTTGTTTCTGTCAAGCAGTCAAAGCCTTGGAGAATAATAGTAAATGTTATTGCAGATCTAAATTTAAATGACTGTCTATGTATTTAACTTAAGCCTTTAATTATTCGTGCCGAACTGTTTTTGGTTCAAATGTTAAACATTATTCATTGAGAATGTGGAATTACTTTAGACAGCTTAAAACCTGCAGATATGTTTGGCTATAATTTGAACACAACAATTATTTATATTAACATATTTTCTCAGGTGTACAAAACTTAGGAAATGGCATGTGATATCTTATGGATACATATTTCAACATTCCATCACTTCTGTCATTATTAATAAAAGGTATGGATTTAGGCCTATTCAATTCTAAATGGCTTTTCCCCAACGAATTGCTAAATTGTAGACCAGACCCCCCCACCAAATATATATATATATATATATAGAGAGAGAGAGAGAGAGAGAGAGAGAGAGAGAGAGAGAGACTTGGTATTATTATTGTTGACGTCTTTAAATAATTCTAGATAATGAAGCACTTCAAAATTTCTTCCAA